TTTGCTTCCAGATGGGCTGGCTTATGAAAAAAGAAAGTGCAAAGACAAAAAAAAGTTGATTCTCAACTAAGGAGAAATAAAAAATGAATATCATTCATAGTTGGGAGTCCATTTCTAGAAATAGAGAGGATTAGCTAAAGTTAAATTAGACACATACCCCAAAAAAGCAGATGATTAAAAGAACAAAGAAGAAGACAGAGACTAACTCCTTGATTAATGAGAAATTATATAGTAGTATACTCTAAAAAAGTGAATATTGAATTTTTTAGGATGTGAGTTGATTCCAATACTGTGGCTATACTTACTGTAAATAGAAGGTGGGTGGGCATGTCCACATACTCAGTTAATCAACAGCATTTCAAGGAATTCTGAAAATTGCTTTTTTTTAATTCAAGTGTTTGAAGAAAATGGACACAAGTTTGGAATTCACACTAATGAAATGAAAGAACTTTTACAGATTTAATATTTTCTTGAATAGATATTAGGGGGAAAGCATATATTCTGGAATAATTTTCTTTTATGACTTGGTGAGTTTGAGCAGATATAGCTGACATCTGGTTCTCCATGTATTGACTCTTGTTCTCCTTGCCCATCCTTGAAGCCACCATCCTATGTTCTTGCTACCTTGACTCCCAAACTTGATGAAAAAAAATACACCAAATTGTCTCTTCTTAATCCTCTCAATTCCTTATAATCCAGTTTTCCACTCCCAATACTCTCCTGGCATTGCCTTTTGTAACGTCCCCTTTGCCTCACCAATCAGCAAATTCAGTGGCCTTTTTTTAGGATGCTTTGAGTCGAAGGCATTGCCCACTTCCCTGAAATTCTCTCTCCTGTTGGCCTTGACATGCTCTCTTTCCAGGCTATCCTTGTACCTCCCAAGCCTGTCTGCTTTGATTTCATGTTTCTCTTCTTTCTCCTTGCTTTCTTCTTCCTTGTTCTACAAACTGTCCATGGTAACCACAGACATTTGCATAAATACAAATACCATTGTTTATATCTTTTAAATTCTAAAGAAAATGGGAAGGACATTGGTTGTCGATTTTCTTAACTATGGTGTGCTTAAATCATCACATAACTGCCTAATTCCAAGAAGTGAAAGAAAAATGACATTTGAGCTACTCAAAATTATTTTTAAGACTACTTTGTTGATCTATGGTTTAGCACTAACCCACATATTTCAAAACTACAGGCTTTGATGTGTTAACAAAAAGCTTCAACAAAACAAGTAATCTTCTATATTTATTTATTTATTTTTCTTTATAAAAAATGACTGTAGTTTTCCACGTTGCATTTCCTCTGACATGCCTCATATGAGAAATTAAGTTATCATGTGTTAAGTTTTCTTTAAATGTTTGAAATCTAGCTACTGAAGGAGATAGAAATGAGACACAAACATGATAAAATTTTATGCAGAATTTAAGAAGTTTGAACTTTAAGTATAATTTGATGCTATTGATGTTCTCGTTCAAATTTTAATACAGTCAGTGCAAAGAACGGTACAGTTTATAAACATGTTATAGAGCTTTTACCAAATCAGGTTCGTTTTGCCTGTTGCATGGAAAGCCAATCACCAAGATCACAAGTTTGCAGCAGAGAATGGGTTTATTCACAAGGTAGCCAAGTGAGGAGATGGGAGAACAAATGTCAAATCCACCTCCCCAAGAAATGCAGATTAGGGATACTTACGGGCTAGAAGGCAGGGTGATCTGAAGTGTGGGAATAGATGATTGGAGGTAAGGAGAAGTGAGGTAATTGCTGATCTGCACAAGCATAGTCAAGCTTCATGGCTCTTCCTAGGGTGCATGTCCCCAAAACTGTGGTGTTAGCATGATCTGAGGGTGGAATTTTTGGTTCCCTGATGTCCGGAGTTCACCTGTCCAACACCTGTGCAGGCCCAGATGGTGGGCTGGTAGTCCCCACTGGCCCAAACCAGACAGGGGGAATTGTTAGTTCCTGAAAAACAGCTCGGGCATCTGTTACCATGCTAACCCAAGCGTCAGGGAGATGTGATCTGTGAGGAACCTAGTGGGAATCAGGTAATATATCCCCTATCTACGTGACTTTCAGAAATGTAATAAGCAGCACAGGCAACAATGGCGAACCACTAGAGACTCTAATGAATCATTGCCTGAAAAACTTCAGTTCTCAGCTACCCAATCATCAACGGCTAACTGTCCACCAAATTAAGTGAGAACTACACTGAGACTTGATGAGTATAACAGATATGTTTCGTTAGTCCATAAATACACTTTTGTTTTACTTGTGTAATGTAAGTTTTAGCCAAGTCAAGTTGAAAGGAGCTTACAATCCTGCAATAGAAAAGGCCACTGGGTAAAAATGCTTAAAGAACAGAAGTCACTACAAATTTTTTTTTTTTTTTTTTTTTAAAGATTTTATTTATTTTCCCCCAAAGCCCCAGTAGATAGTTGTATGTCATAGCTGCACATCCTTCCAGTTGCTGTATGTGGGACGCGGCCTCAGCATGGCCGGAGAAGCAGTGCGTCAGTGCGCGCCCGGGATCCGAACCCAGGCTGCTAGCAATGGAGAGCGCGCACTTAACCGCTAAGCCATGGGGCCGGCCCTCACTACAAATTTTGAGATTATGCTAGCTCATCCCGAACCTAATGAACTCTATTCAAATGGGAAATAATAGTTCTTCTGTAGTGATCAAGACGAACTGTAAGAGATTAAATCTGATGGCCAAGAAAGGGAGCAGTCAGTGTGCAGTTTGCCTGCAGGTGTTAAATTGAATTAACTAGCTAAAGCAATTGTTTTTCTATAATATTTTTCCTTCTGAGGCTAACTGCAAGTGATACATGTAGCGAACCAACAACCAAAAAAAAAATGATGTGAAACGTTTTATTATCAATAAAGTGCTATATCTGTGAAGGTAACTGAAAGATACGTGGAACAGACCAACAACCAAGAAGGAAAAAAAAAAAAAAAGATGCAAAATGTTTTATTGTTGATATAATCTGAGGTATACTTATAATGTTACTTCGAATTTCTTGAATTGAGGAAAATCTGAAACTGTAGAGTAGCTTTGCCTACTCACATGACCTGGAAATGTTTCTAACCTCGTGATTCATGAACATGTACAGCAGAGAATAACAGGGGAGGGTTTCCCCTCTGTCCCTGCTCAGGGAGCTCTCATACTGGTTATTTTCAATCTCAGCCACGTAGAAGTTCAAGGGCTTTCCATTTTATACCAGCTTCCCCTATGTTTTCACAGTTCCAAACTCAATTTCTGGCACATAACAGTATCCTACACCACTGAGGCGGGGACTGTCCTCACCCCACTGAGGTGGGAATGTGCCTCATTTGTTTTGCACGATCATTGGGCAGCACCTGTGCCTCTGAACAAAGACCGTGTATGGTGCCCACTCCAACGTGTCCCCCTGGCACTAGTGACAACAGAGTTTCCTCAGAATGGTGGCTGAGAAATTAATAAGAGTTGCCCCTGCTCCTGTGTCCACAGCTTCCCTGCAGGTCCAGTGTCCTGTTCCACAGGCCCCTTTGCTCCCTCTCCATCATCACACCTCCCCCTTCCTGCTCCACTGGGGCAGCTATAATCTTCAGTTATTTGGAAGTCAAGAGCCTGGTTCTTCATCTGTTGTTTTCAATCTATTGTTATGATAAAAACATTATGATCTTAGTTCTTCATGGCTGACACTTCACAAATACTAAAGGGCATCTCTTGAGGATTAAACACCTGCCTGTTGTCTCTGCTAAGAACTCTGAAAGCTTATTTTGATATGTAAATGTGGAGGATTGCCTTCTTGCTTTTTTGCCCTGGCTATGGTGGTATTTTCTGGAAACAACTGAGGAGGAAGGACCTAGCTCCCTTCCAGGTATAAGGAATCGGAAGGGGTTGGGAGGGAGAGCACAGTAGATACTGGGATAACACCACCGCATCATAGCTAAAAGTACAGACTGCATAGGATCAAGTTCTGGGTCTACCACTAAAGAGGCAATTTATCCATTACCTAAATTGGGCAATTTATTTTACCTCTCTGTGACTTACTTGCCTCACCTTTATTAGTTCCTTATGGCTGGTATATAAAATTACCAGAAACCTGGTGTCTTAAACAACAGAAATTTATTCCTTTACAGTTCTGGAGGCGAGAAGTCTGAAGTCAGTTTCACTAGGGGCTGTAGTCAAGGTTTTGGCAGGGCCATGCTCATTCTGGAGCTTTAGGGGAGAATCCTTCCTTGCCTCTTCCAGCTTCTAGTGGCTGCCAACATTCCTTGTAGCCACATCAATCCAATCTCTGTCTCCATGGCCCCATTGCCTTCTCTTCTTCTTGTGTCTAATCTCCCTCTGTCTCTCTCTCTAAGAAGACATGTGATTGCATTTAGGACCCACCCAGATAATCCAGGATAACCCCCCCCATCTCATGATTCTTAATTTAATCACATCTGCAAAATCTTTTATTGCCATAGAAGATAAAATTCACAAGTTCCAGGGTCTAGGACATAAATATCTTTAGAAGGGATTATTATTCAGCCTACTGTAAATTGGATTGATAATAGTACCTACATGAACATTAAAGGATATAATATATAAAAAGTGCTTAGAAGAAAAGTGCTTAGAATGATGTCTAGCATGCAATAAAGCACTCAATAAAGGTTAGCCCATAATGGTGATGCCAATGATGATGAGGCAACAAGAAAATGCAGACAAAAAGTTTCAAAATGAACGAAATAATTTTTTAAATGAGCATACATAGAGGGTCTCATCTCTGGATTTTTGATGTGTGCCAACCTTAAAATATTATTATTCGAAGGATTATACCTCTACACTGCACAATTGTAACCCAGTAGTTTAGGCATATGATAACATATAGCCATCTTTGGTTTTGTCTTTTGTTACTTTTCACTTGAAATTTAAATCATTTCAACAACTTCATTCATCCTGAATTCTTCCTAAGGTGAAAATCAAAAGGGTGATGTGATATGATCGTCTCTTTTCGCCCTCTTGTCTCCTTCCCACCTAGGATACAGACCTAATGACATTCAACATCTCTGTACACCGGTCATGGTGGCGGGAACATGGACCTGGTTGTGTCCGAAGAGTGCTGCCCCCGTCAGCCCACGGCATGATGGACGATTACACGTACGTCTCCGTCACAGGCTGCATCGTCGACTTCCAGTACCTGGAGGTCATCCACAGCGCCATCCAAATACTGCTCTCTGTAAGTGGCATATTTTTGTCATTGTCTGATCAGAACTCTCCTGTACTGGCATTTTATATCCAAACCTTTTCATCCACCCCACCTGGTAGACAATGCCATAAAGAAGCACATGGAGAACATCCTTTAAACAATGGAAATAGCAATTATGCTAGCATTAGTTATACTTAATGGCAGGTTGCATCTTTTTTCCTCTTGGTATCCAGACACTTTGTCTTTAGAACCAGTTAGTTGCTGTCATTTGTAACTTGAGATACAATCCACACCATTCAATGAAATAGTATCACTGTTCCCTGTAAGTGGTGCATTGTCCATTCACTACCTCAGGCTCTTCCACTAACACTTCTGCTACTAATTCTATTTCTAATAGATTCTTTTACTAATGTGTGTTAGTTCCAGAGAAAGAAGGATGGAAACACACGTAATGGCTTGCTCAATGTAATAAACTTCATATTTCAAATACTAATTCCTTAAGAAAACAAATCCCTTCGAAGAGTCTTACACATTTTAGTGTCTAAAATTTAGTGTCAGGATACAGGTCCATATAGAGAAACAGGGAGAGGAAATGGCTTGATTGGACCACGGAAGGTTTATGTGCTGGGAACTTCTTAAAGTTAATTTCTTTCCATCAGATTGTCTCACTCACAGTTTGATCACAGTGTGAAGTGAAATTAAGATATACACCATCATCAACAATAGTGTTCCTTTGATATCCAGCAAGGACTTGACATGTTGTCTGAGTCAACATACAAATGTTGTATGTTGACTCATACAACAAATAATAAAGCCACTCTCAACTAAGCTTTTCACATAAACCAACCATCTCAGTTCTTCTGTCCAACTGGTTAATTAAAATCAGAATAAGAAATACAGACTCAATAATAAATAAACGTATGACAAATATAAGAGATGTATGTCAGTGAAGAATATAAGTTGGAATTATTTCTAGAAAGATCTTTGAGAAATCCTTGCTATCACTTACAGTCTCTGTTATCTACTGCTGTGTAATAAACCATTCCAAAATGGAACTACTTAAAACAATATCTATTTATTGCTTAGAGTTCTGTGGGTCACAAATTTGGGTGAGGCTCAGCTGGGTAGTTCTTCTGCTCCACATAATATTGACTAGGGTCCCCCACATGAACCTTTCAACCAGGAGCTATGCTGGGGCTAGAATATCCAAGAAGATCTCACTCATACATCTGGTGCTGGCCATTGGCCCACATTCTCCTTCACATAGCTTCTCTTTTTGCAGAAAACTTGACAGGCTTTCTGACAGCAAGGCAGCTGTGTTCCAAGAGGAGAGGCCTAACATGCAAACATTTATCAAGCCTCTGCTTGAGTAATGCTTACTATTGTCCCATTGGCTGCAGGAAGTCACACGACCAAGCCCAGAGTGAATGTAGGAGGGGACTATAGAAAGACGAGAATACCAGGAGCCATGGTTCATTCGGGGCCACCAATGTAGCAGTCTTTTACCTCACTTACATAATCTATTAATTATTGTTCTTTAACCTGCATATGTCACCTTTTAAAATAGTTTTAGAGCACATTTGAATTATAATTTTTTAGAAAGATGAAAGATTAAAGTAAAAAATTTAAATGTCTTTTAGTGTTCTAGTTCAATGAAAGGCAAATTCTACACTGAATTCAAAGAAGGTTTTACCTCAATGTGAAGGAATTTTCTTTCAGAGATGTAACAGGAAATCTGATTATTCCTGGTTTCCATATATTGTCATTTGTCAATATATGTTTATCAGTCTTTCTCTATCCTCTAGTCTTTCTTTAATCTCCTAGCAGTTACAAAGGAAACTGTCACAAAATAGTCATGCTTAAATCTTTGTATTAAAAAAATATGGAGGAGCTGGCCCGGTGGTATAGTGGTTAAATTTGTGTGCTCTGCTTCAGCGGCCTGGGGTTTGCATGTTTGGATTCTGGGTGCCTACCTGCGCACCGCTTATCAAGACATGCTGTGGCGGCGTACCATATAAAGTAGACTAAGATGGGCACGGATGTTAGCCCAGGGCCAATCTTCCTCAGCAAAAAAGAGGAGGATTAGCAACAGATGTTAGCTTAGGGGCTAATCTTCCTCACACAAAAAAAATGGAGGCAAATTTTCTCTTAAAATTTTTCAGTCTATTTTAAGGTAAAAGAGTACTCTATTATACTAGATTCTAAAGATTCTTATTAATTTTTTTTAATATTGAAACATTTTTCTAGAATCTTTCATATGCGGACAGACCCCCTCCTTTTAAAAGGAATTATTCATGGGCCAGCCCCGTGGCTTAGTGGTTAAGTGCGCGCTATCTGCTGCTGGCGGCCCGGGTTCGGATCCCGGGTGCGCACTGACGGACCGCTTCTCCGGCCATGCTGAGGCCGCGTCCCACATACATCAACTAGAAGGATGTGCAGCTATGACATACAACTATCTACTGGGGCTTTGGGGGGAAAAAATAAATAAATAAAATCTTTAAAAGGAATTATTCATAGTCAAGGGCTAAGCCATTCTGTGAAGTAATGGCATGAAGTCCAGATTTTTATAATGCAGCAGAATGCTATGAAATCAAAAAGCCATTTCTCCATAGTAACTCCCATTCAAATAAACAGCAAGGTGAAAGTATTTATTTGATAAGGAGCTGAACTGACACATAAAAACCTACACTAAAGAGAAATACTAAACGAAGTGTGTTGCCACCTGAAAATACTTGTCACTTATGAATGAATTCCTTGACATACTAGTTTAGTGAACATTCAAAGCTGTCCACCTGCGTGCATAGTCCTGACTGTACTGTTCGTTCAGCTTTCCTGCAATAGAAGGATTTGTTGCTGATCCCCGACTTTTCTTGTGTAATATACCTGCGAGACAAGATTTCCAGTATTTTGTCATTTTATATTAACATGAAATATATCCTGAAATTGTTTCGCAACTATCAAATTATGTGGTTGATTTTATATGAGTTTCTTGTATTTTCCACTTATTTCATATAAATATGTTTAGAACTGTGATTTTTTCTTCTGATGTGGGAATACTTCCTGTAACAGTTGCCTAGCATGTGCTGAGATGTCAGTCTTATTACTGAATAAAGGGGTGATGGTTGCAAGATTTAACAGCCTGTGCTGCAGCGGCAACAGCTAAGCAAAGAGACAAAGGGCTTTGAGACAGACAAGGTCCCATAGGCCCTGCTGCACCAGGGGTTCCCCCTGTACTTGCTGGAGGCACAGGAATATCTAGATGGACACAAGGGAGGGACCAATGGAGACGGCCAGGAAGGTGGAGGGGTTCCCTCGGGGTTTCAGGGCAGCAGCTCTCTGGCAAGTGAGAGGGAAGTATTTGAGTGATTTACCTGTGGATACAGCTCCCCTGGTGAATACTGCCTGTACAGTTGTCCTACATGAGAGTAGAGGCTGGAACTGGAAGAAATGAAATCCCAGTCATAAGCATTCTACAGGAACTGTGTACTAGCTTGACAGAAACAAAAACAATAACACAACTTGTGAAGAAGGCGGTGAGCTGGGGTCCTATGTGGGACCGTCACACAAGGCTCTGAGAGCATCTGCATCCCTCTCAACTGGCCCCAGCACAAGAGCTCAGGCCTCCTCCCAGCACCCCTGTCCCTGCACAGCAGCATTCTGCCTTGCGCTTCCTTCACAGGCTCTCAGGTTGAGCCGAGTGGGAGAGTGGGACGGGGAGAGAGTCCTGTTGCTCTAGTCTCACCCAGGCCAATAACAGGGCTCCTGCAAGTTGTCAGCAACACCAAGTTAAAGATCAGGGTGGAATCCAAAGAAAGGCTGTGGACAGTATGAGGGGAGGAGCAAGATTTAATCTATGGAGGAGGTGACATATCAAAGGCAGTAGCCAGGATCAGGCTGTGGGATGGTATTAGTCCCTCCTCTCCATGCTCACTGCCCCTGCCCTGGGTCATATGCTCATCATTGCGCATCTGGAGGATGGCCAATAACCTCCTAAATAGTTTTCCCGACCCCAGGTCCGCCCACCCTCACGCATGCACTTCCTCCCAGGGAGATGATTAGGAAGTGCAAATCTGATCGCTTACTTTCCTTCTGATCACCCTTCAAAAATCCCCATTACCTTCAAGATGAAATCTGAATTCATGCCTTGTCGTGTGAGGCCCTCATGACCTGCCCTTTGCCTGATTCCCACCCTTGTCTCCTGACACGCCCCTACAGGAGCCCCTCTGCCGTCTCTGCAGAGCATGACAGTTCCGAAAGCACGCCATGCTGCCCACGTGCAGCCCTCTGCTTGGAATGGCTCTCCAGGCCATCCCTTCTCCCTCTCACCCAACCTCAGCTCTTCATCCACCTGGCCGCAGTCCACTAGCAAACATCTTTTCCCCGAAAGTTTCAGGATGTGTTAATTAATTTTTTAAATAGATAATACATTCACTTAGTTCAAAAACATAAAAATATACGCAGAGAAAATACTCCCTCCCACCCGTGTGCCCCCAATTGCCCAGTTCCCCCATCTCTGCTCCCCAACAGGCAACCAGTTCTGTTTTGTTTGTTTTTTAGTGTTATCCATATGATTCCAAAGTGTCTTTATGCAACAAGAAAATATGACTCTATATCTCTATTTGCCCCCACAGACAGCATATGACGTGCAGTTCTGAAGTTTTTCTTTTTTTTACTTATTACATATTTTGTAGCTATTTTCATATCAGCACATCAGTGTTTCCTTGTTTATTTGATGGTTCTCTATGGATGGACATTTGGACTGTTAACTTCATCCAAATATAATGATTTTGGATATATATAACATATATATACATAACAACATGTGTAACATACATATATACCTAACATAACATATAATACATAGTATAATATAATATCAAGTATGTATTGTAATTATGTAACCATTATACACAGTGTTATACTAAATAACTGTGTGTGTGTGTGTGTGTGTGTCACTGAGAGCATTTCCTAGACCTGCCTGGCTCACTCACCCCCAGGCTGTGCCATGTGAGCACACTGTTCTATAATCATTGAGTCTCTGGTCTGTCTATCTACCAGAATGAATGCTCCTTGCAGGCTGGAATTGTGTCCTTTTTTCAGTTGTTCATTTCTGTTGTCTTAGCAGAGTGGTGGCACATAGAATTTGTTAAATGAGTAAATCACCAACCAACAAGAGATTCCAAAGTCTGAAGTGGGTAAACACAAAAGGAAGACTCTATCTATCAAAAACTGGCAGCGGTGAATGCAGACAAAATGCAGAAGCCGGAGGGAAAATTCCCTTCATCTGCGAAATGAAGGGAATGTGGGCAAAATGTTCTGCACAGTGCTTGGCACGGAAGCACTCAATAAATATCAGCTTTGTATTGTTGGTACTGATGCTATTACTGCAATTACCCTTTGCCTGTCCCTCTCCTATCTGGGCTGGTCCTTCTTCAAAGACCAAAGCGCTCCATCCTGGTGGTACTCTATCTGTTGAACTCTTAGTTTTTTAATCCCACACCTGACACCCAGTTCCTGCATGAAAAATGTCATTCCTATGATGTTCATAGGACACACAATCATAAATCTCTACTCTGAGGACCGAACTTTTGTTTAATATGTGTTCTTCCTAGAATTCTTTCCTACCTGTGCCTTTCCAG